AACAAAATGATTACAAACATATTCCAAGTGTTCTTGATCAAAACTGTTCCTGTTTATATTGAGGACTGTAAAAGAACAAAACGAAATAAAAAGTAAGTAGTACACACATTTCTAGCATTCCATCAAAACCTTTCCTGTTTAAATTGAGGACACTGGAGGAAAAAAGAAATCCCATCTCTGCAGAATCCACTCCCTAGCTCTGCTATTGTGCCTGAACACTACTGAATAAAGCATACGGGCTGCAATTTACCAGTTGAGAGACACCATTATCATACATATTACTTCACATGACAAAATCTGCAGGCATCTTGGGAGGCTTCAGGAATATGAAGCCTGTGCCTGTTGTCTCAAGTCCTCGACAAACATCTTTGGGGACAAGCGGGGCCTAGAAAGAAAGGACAAGAAGGCACCGTTTCCATCTCCCTTTCATCTAAGTCACTCAGTCAACCATTCAGTGCCCCATTCAAAGCCGCTGTGCATTATGCAAAAAAATGCTAATCCTTTTCCGATGCTTTTTACACTTGTACAAACCCTGCATTCCCTTTCCTGAAAAGCAATTATATCAGTTTACATTTCTGTCAAAAAACAGGATTACTTTAGGAGAACTAGCATTGCACCAGGCTTCCCCCATCTATAGCTGAAGGAAACTAGAGATTATCTGCGACAGTATTTTTTTTCCTCCTCTTCCACTCTCCTCAAAAAAGTGGAGAGGCCTTAAGAATGTGATTTAATTAGCCAAAGGGAAAAGAATAGATCTTTAGTTGCTGTGGAAACTCTTTCTGACCTGACCTTCTCTTTGCAAAAAGCCCCGAACAGAACGAGCCTCAGTCTGGTCTATTAATCAGAAACAAATTATGAAAGAATGTTGTCGGCCTGAATAATGCTGCCCATTCTGTGGTGAGATCAGCAACAGCTTTCGCTCTTGCTTTCATTGTCTTTCTGTGCGTTTGACAGCCCGACATGACGAATGAGATCAGGAAGACCCTGGATTTGCATATGCAAATTCCCACATGAGGGAAACGTGTCTAAACAAGTGTTATCGCGAGGCAGATTAAGTAAGCCATCATGCTTTTGCTGTTTTTTGGGGGCCACCGCTGTAGTCAGGGCCATTAGTCAGCACAATTAACCCCATCTCCATGGCTACTAATGAAATTTCGCCATGGTATGACTTAAATTAGATAGCTGGCTATGCGTTGCCACCATCCAACTCCAAATCCATTATTTGCCCCAGGAACAATGAGCTGTTTGTTCTCAGCTGATCTCCACCAGCTGAACAAACCTCCGAGTTAACAATTTGCATATGTTAATAAAATTAAGTCCTAATTACATGAAACTTGTACATATTCAAATGCACTTTCCCTAGGCACTATGGAGCTTGAACCCTATCCAAGTGTTTAACCCTTCAGAAAGCCTCTAAGCAGGGGAGGCTCTTTCTGCCTCAGAAATGCCTCGGGGCTGACACAAAAAGGCCCCCCTTAATACATTAAGCCAGCTCCTGACTTCTCAGCTTTCCACCCACTGCTCTGCGGACCAGGGCAAGTACTGCATCCTCCAAACCAAATTCAATTGGGCCCACAACAAAAGCCCTATAGTTCCTCTAACAACAATGTGACAGTTTTCTCAATGCTATCTATGAGAAGTGCACACACAAACGTTATTAAACAGTTAATGTGCTCAGGAAACCACAACAAGCACTAGCAATTGAGTACATAAAATACAGAGCTAAAATAAATTGTTCTTGATGTAAAATTCAGAAGCATTTCTTCAAGAAAATGACAGTGGGGAAAAATGGACAATATCTTATCGTAACGACATTAAGCTTTTGAAATCGTAACAGACAGGGAATCTTAAAGGAAATCATACAGTCGCAGCAAGATTAAAAAAGCCTTTGTCCTGCACCACATACATTTTCTTTTCCTTCTGTGCCAGCGAAATTAAATTGGTCTGTTCAAAGGTTTAAGATGAGACTAAATGGAAAAAAAATGTTCTATCACATATGAAATTTATGCCGCTCTGTGAAGCGTAGCCCAGATGGTGCGAGATTAATAAAAAACAAACACCTAATGATAGACAGCAGAAAGCTCAGAGGACTATGATAATGTCAGGGTTAAAGAAAACAGAAAAAAAAATCTTTCCTGCTTCTTCTCAGTATTGCTGACCAACAACGAATTTCCACGACTGCAATGAAATAACAAGCCGTGCTCCGGTGAATTGAAGCTCTTGGCGCTCTAAATGGTTCATATCACCACATTCGAAAATAGAAAACTGTATTTCCCTGTCTAACCCTGTACAAGGCCTTTACAGAAAAAGAAATGTTATATTGCAGCTTTTTGGGGAGAAACTGATACCACTGTGGTGATCACTGGTCTTGTGATTTTGATTTATTTTTTTAAGATGGATTCTGTCAAATTTGTGCATATATTATGTGTGTGTCTACATGCATGTGAATGCAAACATCAGCTTGTGTGTGTGTGTGTTTGAATGGGGCTTCTCTTTTACAACTATCAATACCAGGATAACCATGTATTAGCATTCAACCGAACACGCAGTCATCTCTCTCGCCTTTTAGCTAAATTGGGTGTCTTAATGTCACAAAGCAGTGGCAGTCAACCTCTGCGCGTTGCCATAGAAGTTTCGGTACTGAACAGCAGAACGCTGTGATAGGCTTGTAGCAAGCCACTCCGCAGAGGCGGATTTTAAATCATCCAGCCTCTTCTATTAGACTTGAGACTTATTGAGGTAGAAACCATAAAAAATGAAGAAGGGAAATTTAATCCCTGAAATATTGATTTGCACATTAATATCATATAGGCAGTGGGCAATTTGGCTTCATGGAAATGACACATTGTCGACCCAAGGAGAAGCCTCAGCCAATCTTACTGCAGAACATGTCTCAAGAGTTATTAAAGGCTCCTCGCATTGGCTTCACGATATTCTGTGCTGCCTCGAATCAATCTGTACACTGTACGAAATTATGTGGACACAAAAACGCAAAACACATCTGATATTAAATCAAAGCACGCTTAATAGATCCAGATGCCTTGTGGTGTCATAAAACGACTGCATTCAAATGAACATTTCTAAGTACATTAATGCAACCAAATGCACTGAACCCCATCTTTTCTAAACCTTGTGTGTCTTTCTTTAAGAGCAGATCTCAGACACAACCTTTATAAATAAGATTTTTACATCTAACAGTTGTTGTCACACAGCAGCAAAATTGCTGAATGAAACTCATCCTTTTATTCTTTAATAGAAATACAAATAATTCAAGCTGAAAAGTTTAATACGAAAATAGAGAAAACTATTACATACAAGACAACGTACAATGTACAACATAAAAATGATAATAATCATAATAATAATAATAATGTTATTATTGTAACAAAAAAAAATCTAAATTAACAAATAAAACTATATAAATTAAAAAACAATCCAATAAAAAAGATGCAATTCCGGTGCAATTCCAATTTGCAAACAAATCCAGGTATCCACAAAGGATCGTATTAATACAAAAAGCGTACAAATCCACAATGTCTAATGAAGAAAACCCAAACGCAGCTCATTTAATACACGAGCAAACAAACATGCTGCCAACGGTACAGAGTAACCCCCCAAAAACAACTTGAAAATCCTACAAATACGGTGATCCAGGCAGTGAAAATCTGCTGGTTTAGAGAGCAGAGAGCGCAGACACACAGCGATACACACCGCGGCTCTGTGCTCTGCCTCCCCACTGCCTGTGTTTTTTCTGTGCTCTCAATGGAAGCGATCGATGCCCTTGTCACTGTCGCGTTCCAATCGGAGCCAAGACTCTGTCTCACACTCACCATCAACCCAAAAGCCAAGCGCTTACACACACGCCACGGTCTTCAATGCCAATGTTAACGTTTACCACAAAAAAAAAAAAAACTTCGAACTTTAAGAATCTACCGACCTTCTATAAACTCGGGGACAATTCTCTCAGGAAAAACTGAAAGGAGAAGAGAAGGAAACTTACAGGCAAGCCAGAAGACACAAGTAGTTTAAACACGGAATGGGCTTTCTAAAGAAAATAGGAATGATTTCGGTCCTTTTTATTCCGTTTTTTACGTCTGCCACAGACACGAAGGAGTCCGGGATATGGCAGAAGAGACAGAGTTCAATCCTTCCTATCGTTACCATCATCCGAGCCGCAGCGTGGAGAGACTCTTTTATACGTTGCAGGTAACAGAAATATACGAAGGAGGATCTTTTAGTTATCTGAGGTGAACTGTGCAGCTTTTGAGTCTATCTCAAGAAGCATGACGGAAAACACCGGTCCGGAGCGTCGTCGGGTCAAAACGTAGCCTTCGCGTTTCTTACTATTGCAGTTCTCGACACGTTACCTTTTCGAGCAGATATTTTATAAAATGTATGACTTGTATTGTTTGAGAAATAAGATTTGGTCAAATGTAAGGAAGCCCTGCTGTTGAGCGTTTGCTGTGATGAGGCGAGTCCAACGCCTGAGGCGAACACAACAGCCGCGAGCGTACAAATCGGTCCACTTTTTACTCATTTACGTATCAGCGAATAACGGTATAAAATAGAGCGAAACTTGACATTTATGGCGGGTTTGCTGTGATGAGGCGAGTCCAACTCCAACACAACAGCCGCGAGCGTACAAATCTGTCCACTTTTTACTCCGTATCAGCGAATAACGGTAGAAAATAGAGCGAAACTTAACATTTATGGCGGTTTGCTTGCAAAAGAAACGAAATGGAGTCTGGAAAAGGTTTACGGTAGATACGGTAGGACAACATCGCCTGACAGTTCGCGGCTGTTCGGCAAAAGGACTGTTTTACAAACTGAGAGGAAAATATTTAGGCTGGCATTTGTCTAAATTATATCTCATAAAGCCGTAATCCAACAGCGGAATAGCGCAGATTCGGCAGGACTAGTCGCGAAAGAAAATCAATACTCGACCTAAATTTAACACCAACTAACGTTACTCAATAAAAGTTGAAGGGAAAAAAACTTACTTTCTTTCCCCGCAGTTCCCTCCGCTTCTTCTCTTGATATTTGCTTTTTCTGAAGAAAATCACATCCAATGGTAGCGCAAGTAGGTAACAAACAGGATAAAAAGAAAAAAAAAATGCAACAATAATCCTCCAACTTTATAGGAAAAAACGTAAATACTACAGTAAGAGTCGATCCTTTGGGTCCGGTTGTGTAAAAGATGTGTCGACGACTGCCTAGCAGTTTCAGTTGTGGAGGAGTAAGGGAAAGGAGGTAAGGAAATGAAAATCCGATATGTCTTTATTCTGCTAATTATTATCGTTTTAGCCCTGTGTACGAGCCAGATTCCTACAATGATCTAATAGGGGGAAATCTTTTTCGGTGGGCAAGATGTCCTGTAACGGCCTGGAACATTTTGTGGGACAATAAGAGATTTTTTTTTACTTTTTTTGAGTCATACCTGTGATCAAAGCCGTTTTATTATCATTTTTAATTTAATTAAAAACAAAAAAGACTACATGTTATAGTATGGCACTTTTAAAATGTTAAGTCTGCATGCTGTTATTAAAAAAAGGCAATATCTGATTTTGTTTGTAATGCAGTCGGCCTTTTAATTGAAAACGAGTTTGCCATTCAAATTCAGACATATAAGGTGTTGATGAAGGAGAATTTAACTGAGCTGATATTTATTTAGCCTATTTATTTATTTATTTTTTGTAAAAGAAAATCACCCGAGACGCTTCGATTTATGAAAATGTACAGATTTTAAAAAGCAGAAATATGCATTTGGACACTATGTTGCAATAACATCCGTTTGCATTGTAGGGAATAAATACATTTAACAAAAATAATAATAATAATAATAGAAAACAACACGACTGAAATGGCACATTTTCCTATTCCTACAGTACAATAGCCTACTAAAAATAAAGAATGAAATGCAACGCAAATGAAGAGAAAACGTGAGAAAAACATGAATACTGTACAGGCGTCGCTTATTATAACCCGTTATCTGCGTGACACATGTAAAATGCCAATAGCTGAGCAGATTAAATGAACAAATCGTATCAGTTGTAAAGGCCATGTATTTAAAATGATTTTCAGTTAAGCTACTGTATTGTAGCCTCTTGTATTGTAAGAGAACATGCAGATGTGAATATTATTTTGCTTTTATAAGAGATATTTAATGACACATTGTATGATACGCATTTGTTTTGCAAACAAAAATTATATGTAACGTTAAATTAGATTAAAATAATAATTCGCAGAATATTTATCGATAAAACAGTGTTCAAAATAAACCTAAAAAGTACACTACTTGACAGTAAATGGGCCTCGGATTTAAAGCCCATAGTAGCCTATATAGCCTGCTGTAAAAGAGCCAGGCTTATGAAATTTACATCCTTCTATTTCACTCATCAGGCGTTTAGTTCATATTCAAACACGCATGCAAATGCTCCGATTGATTATCCAGTTTGGATCTCCTAAGATGTCGCCATTGAAAGAAAATCCGACAAGATGTTAATCGTGAAGAAAATCAAAAGATCGGCTCTCCTTTATGAAAAAATCGAAGGGGGTGAATTGAGCGAGGCTCTGTTTCCGGATCGCACGATAAGGATGCTACCAGAGCTGTGTTTGCAGTAAAACACGAGCCCTTGGATTGGCATGTCTACTGTGGGTCTTTGGATGGGCGAGAGGTGGTCAACAGAGGCGTTACTTCTTCACCCCTGATCCACTGTTTCTAGTCCTCGGGGGACTCATGCCTGCTAGACCCAAGTGCTGTTTCGGCAGGATGAACGAGAGAACAGAAACAAAACCGAGACGAGCTTCAGATTTTACCTTCATATTAACGCAAAGCAAATGCGGCGGAGTAAAGGTTATTTATTTGCCAATGACGACTGTATTTCTGCTGCTCACCGCGGAGGACTTTAAAGCTATTGATTTAAAGGTCTCACCTCTTATGCAAGTATACCTTGACGAATACATTTTGCGTAGTTATAAGAGTGTTGCTGTCTTTTGAACTGTTTTGGGCTGTGAAATGGGGAAATTGGAAGGTGCGTGGCTAATATAGTGCTTATCTTAGTCTGCAGCACTTTCAACTGCTCGTGTCCACCCTCGTACTTTCTGCTCTTTCTCTCGGGCTATCTGACGAAAATCGCTTCATGTGCGTATCATTTCATCTTGAATTAATTGTGTAAGATTGTATCTTGTTGCAGCATGTTTTTGAAATGAACATATATTGAGATTTTTCCTTTTATTTTTGTTGTTTGGTAAAGCTAGCATGTAGTGTACAATGACTAGCATTTATCATTGGTGATTAGCTTATATTTGTTTAATGTCTTTTTTCCGTGCATTTTCCTTATTTTCAGCTATATGGATATGTAAACAATATCACAGGCTTTGTTCGCTTTTTTTATGACATTTTAAAGTGTTATCTATGAGACGTATCAAAAACAGCATGAATATTGATTTAAGTGAAATGTCAATAAAGCAATCATCATACAATTCGCGACCTGTGATTTCTTATAATTGTCTTTCTAAAACGTACGATGTGTAACAATGACTTCAGGGTTTCTTTTTCGGTTCTTTGCTCGAACTGAATGAGTGAATGACTGTCCTGTCCCACAAATGACAGGTTTGTCCAAACCGCCTGGCGCCCTCTGGGGTCTGAGAGGTCACGTTTTGACAGTAACTGACCCTTTGTAGCCGCATTAAACACTGTCCAAAATGTTTCGCTAACGGAGAATTAAATCCAATAAAAATTCTCAACGCTCTCTCTCTCACACACACAGACACCTCCAGAAAGTTTTCACTAGAATATTTGTGGAAGGGAAAACCTCCGCGCAATATAAGAAACGTAGTCGAACATGCATGATCAAAACGAACATATCTAAATGTATGTAAAACACAATTGATTAGCTATAAAATCACTTCTCCTGACACTATTTGGTAAGGTCTGCATGGCAAAGCATTCAGAAAATTGATCACACTATGAGTAAACAACAACAAAATTGCCAGAAAAGTAGGCTACAAACTACGCCACAAGATTATTTATTTCAAAGTCAAACGATACCTTTGTAATTTCCCCTAAAAGCCAAATCGTTTCAAACCTGTCCCACACTGGAATCTCACAGTTCTCTCTTAAAAACAAGAAGAAAATGCTTAACATCCTCCAATTAAAAAAAAAAAGAAAAGAAAAAAATCTCCGTCATCTGTATCCGATCAGCTCTCTTTTGTCTTTTAAAAGTGACAGTTACACTAAAGCGACATATTTCACGTGCAATCTGTTTAAAACATTATATTTATTTTAGCATTAGTCCTATATATTCCCATTTCTTGTTTTATAAACGCCAGCTAAAAAGAAAATAAATCGCTTGTACCTTTGGTATAAAAGGGCATCCTGGTGTCCTCTGTCTCTCTGATGCTCCGCTTATAGCATATGGAAACTCTTTTGAAAATGCCTAGATTTGGCACATTGTCATTGAAAAGAGCGGAGCGTGATGCTCGAACACAAAATGGGAAATAAGTTGGGGATTGGGTGCAGCCTCCCTCAATGCGGACTTATCTAACTTTAATTTCATATACCGCAATGACATGTCATTCAGAATGATTTGAGCAATTAGAACGTTCTTGCGATTTTCAAACAGAATAAGAAGTGCCCCGCACAATGCTTTTGCGCGTTGTGTAGTTAATATTTTATTAATTTGCTTGTCTGTACTACAAACAACTACAAGATTGCGTGAACAATCTGTAAACAACGTCGTGGCAAAATCACTGCCAACGTTAAATCGAGATTCACAAATGCTTGTTTGTAAAACACTGAACTTTCGATCAATGTATTGGGACATTTCGATCGATTATATAAACGAAAATCCATATACGACATGAGACCGGTATCAGCACGACTTTCAATTTCATGAGAAACAAAAGTGGCAGCACTGAGATCATAAATAAGAGATTAAATTATATTTATTATATTAGAAAAATACTTACAATACAACATTTGCTAACAACAATGTGCAATGTGTATTAAAAATAAGAACAAGGTTTAGTGTTAAAGATATATGAGATAAATCTGAATATTTTAGCCTTATATTTCACTATGAAATAAAGATATAAAATAATTCACTGACATGCTAAATGATGCACTGTGCTGAAACTCCAGAGTTTTAATGACAGCCATCAATATGATCATTCTGTAATGCTACTGTTTAAATGTGGTAAATTCACACAAGCTCCCAGCTGCTGGGCCCCAGGATCACGGATGAGGGAGGCGGCCAGGCACGCGGTGCCATTCTGTTTATTTGATAAAGAAAATCAATGAGAGTGACTGTGGACTATTTAGCGAGATGTTTGAGAGGGGAAAATGGTTGCTTGAAAAGTGACTTCAGTTGGCTGGTCGATCTCATCGGGAAATGTACACTAAACTACACTCTCAGAGACACACTTGGTCCTCTCTTTGAGTCCATTCACCCCCACTGCCCCCTCCCACTTGGCCCTTTGCTCCTCGTGGTGCGGAGGTTTTCATTGTTGATCCCTCTTTAATAGACAAACGGGCAGGAGCTGCACCTCCGGCCATCTATCCTAAAGCAGGAGATTCTCCATCTGCTGAGCCCCTGAATGTATAGCCAGCTTTGTTTATTAATTACGGTATATAATTTGAATATGAGTTTTATATGTTAAGCATCATTTTTGGTGTAAAACAAATAAATAATAATAAATGAAAATCAGTGATGATTTATAAATATAAATAATTTATAACTTAATAATAATAATAATGAATGTTAGTATCATTATTAAATAAATGTAAATTAATTAGTGCTTTTTTTTAAATCTGTGGATTAAGATGATAAAGCATGCAAAATCATTACAATGGTCTAATCAATGAAACAATCAATAATGAGCTAATTAATTATAATTACAAATGAGCCTGCTGTTTGTAACTGAAAAGCCACTGAGACCCTCCCTATTCCATGAGTTTAAGCCTCCAGGACCAGAGCACCTACTGAGCGGGCTGCACGTAAACACACTAAAACCAGAATCATTCAGAACACTTATCAGTTTGAGCCATCGCCCCTGTTCAGGAGAGTGTATATTTCACTGGTTTATGGCTAATGCTCTTAAGCAGAGAAGAAACTGTGCTTTTCTTCTTATGAACTTCTTATGAATTAAATTAGGTAATAAATAGATAATTGTATTTCCAGCTTTCCCTGTTCAAATGAGTCTTTAGTATGGCTACATGTTTTCTTCTGCCTCTCCCGGGGTTATAAGCTGCCCTCTCCCACATACGTAGTGGTGCATTCTATTTAGCGGATTACCTGG